CTAGAGGCGAGTCGCAGTGCGAGATCACTTTAGAACTAGCCGACAAGAGAGCAAAACTCAAGAATATAGACTTAATCGAAACGGAAGCAGGCATAGCAGTGCAGACAGGCAGCCAGCATGCAATTGTCGGCAGTAAGTACAAGGGGAAACCCGGTACAGTAAAATGCTGTGCAAACAAACATCAACTCAAGTAGGACTCCATGAACCATGAACCACGACGACTCAGTTTTTCTATAGACTCTATTGTATATATTATTGTAGTAGTCTAGCTTTCTTGCTCGTGATCGGATAAAAAAATACTTCACTACACAGTATCAATAAAATCTATTGCGAACAGGATGACTTTCTCGTGTGTGAGGTCGCGTGTGCTGTATTCATCAGCTTACCACACAACGGCCCCAACAAACGATAGACGCTTGGCAGCACATGCGTTGCGAGAGCTAGATACAAAAGTAAAGCAAAATTTACAGAAAACCAACAAATGATTTCGCATTATGCTACTGTAACGCTAGTACGAACCCCACCTAGCCGTGTAAGAAGCCCTAGTTCGCGGCGCTGACGTTGTAGTACACCGTGTGCTCGAACTCAGGCGCGCAGTACGGGAACTCCACCTCGTCGTCGGATGGAGCGAACAGCTCCTTGCCCGTGGTGTACGTCACGTAGCAGCCCAGCGAGAAGCAAATGACCACCACGATACTGCCCGCCACCTTCTCCCACATGGCCACGTTGCTCCACGACTTCTTCAGGTAGAAGACGATAGGCAGCAGGATGCAGTTGACCGTGATGCACGACGCGCCGACGAAGTCTGCCAGGGACGTGAAGTCGTCCTTCAGCACAATCGAGATGATGACCAGCACCACCACAATGACGATACGCATGACGACGTACTTGATGGCGTTCGCGCCGCGGTACTCCAGCGCCTCCTCCTCGGTGTCGTACTTGTGCACGTTTTCGGCGTCAGCCACAGACACGTACGACATCTTGGAGCTGCGCACGGAGTCCTTCACGGCCAGATCGGCTGGGGTGGACGTCTGCAGGTAGTTGGTGGCGATCTCGAGGTCCTCGTGCGTCTGCTGCACTTCCTTGTGCATGCCCAAGAAGAGCCGCTCGGCGATGTAGAACGCCGGGTTGATGATCACGGCGAAGGCGATTGTGATGTGGAGCTGCATGAAGAGGTAGGCGAGCACGATGGTCCCCCAGTTCGGAGCGAACCCCAAGTGGGTGAGGCCGGTCTCCGAATCGGGGTAGATGGTGAAGAGCAGGTTGCCGGAGATCTGGCAGCCCACAGCCGAGTACGCCGTGCTGGCCAGGATGAGGAAGAGAATGGAGATAATGCCGACGGTGACGACCACGACGCGCGGCATACGCTTGGGGTCGCTGTGCTGGCGCTGGATGTCGGGGATCACGATGCCGGCACCGTAGGCGAGGGACAAGTTGCCAAAGCAGCCGGCGACCTGCGAGAAGGAGAGGTCGGGCGACGGCACGCTGGGGTGGCCACTGAGACCGTGCATGACCACGGCAACGCCCAGGACGTCGGCAACGATGGTGCCGAGGCATCCAGCGAATGCGGCGGCAGCTCCTTCCTTGAGAGTGGGGACCAGACACACGGGCAACACCATGAGCGCCATGAGGATGATCCACGTGGTCTGGCTGAAGGCTTCCGGGAAGAGGCCATCGAGCAACGAGCCACCGAGCACCAGGAAGACGCAGGGGATGAGTAGGCACGAGCCCATTTGCGAGATGACGCAGAGCCAACGACCAGTTTGGCCCATGCACCACTCGCCCAGATCTCCGAAGGTCTTGACGGACTTGGGCGCTAGCAGCATGACCTTGGACATTGTGAGGGACGAGTAAATGTTCGCGAAGGCCATGAAGGCCATGGCGACCACGGCCAGATAGGGGCCGGCACGCGAGAAGTTGCCGGGCATACCAAGCGTTCCAACACCGTAGATGCAGCAGAAGAGGTTGAAGGCCGACTTGGCGTCCTCCGCCGTGAAGAAAGGTCCTTTCGCCATTGCTCTGGAAACCCGGGCGCAGTATGTAGTCTAGTTGCTTGATTGAGTTGCTGAACCGTTCGGCTTGAGCGGAACTGAGCCAAAGTGGGAATGAGTAACGTGAGCTGGCCTGCCGGCAGGCAGTGCCTTCAATGCCACCGCAAACACTGTTCTAGCTAACAGCTGGGTAGCCGTCGCTAGCCTCAGTAGCTTTTAGCAACTTGTCTAATACAGGCTGGTTTCGAAAGCATCCATTCCATCTCCCTGTGGCGGGCACCGATGGTGCTTGTCCTTGTAGGCAGTACAGTAGTGATACTGCACTGGCTGGTACAGTACACAGTATAGTATACAGTACAGTACGTGTAGAACCAAAGGGGAAAGGATGTGATGCACCTGATTAAAGAATTAATCCAGCAGATCTATCGGGCGCACACCAACATGAGAGCGTACAGAAGCCGCCTGCGAGCGTACGCGTTCACCTGAGAGAGTACCTTCTTGCCGCACCAGTTGCCTTTTCTGCTCGTTAAATCGTGCTGCAGCGTGGCTTCAACGTCAATGTGTACTGGAGCCTACAGTAAGTCTGTGCGCTCCAGTTCCCTAAGCTACGCTGGGACGAATTTGTGGGCATTCGTGGCACTAGCCTCATGGATTTACCGGCAAAATACGCGCTGCATATAAGCTGGGCTGAGTTCGTAACATGGTGAAGGTATCGGAGCACTCGCATTGCGGCTTTTGGAAGTTGTAGCTACGGTATCCTTGGTACAGTGTATCCGGTTCGAATCGAGTGCGATTTGTGTGAGCTCTCTTCAAGAGAGCAGGCGGGCGTGCAAAACCGGCTCGGGGGCGAGGCGGAACGCGTTGCCCACGTGCGCCGTCATCACCTTGAAGTGCAGGCGATTGGCGTAAGGGTCGGCGATGCCAGCTCCGTCACTGCGCTGGAGGGACTACTGTACATGTAGAGCTCTTGTGCGGGGTCGACGATCAAACTCGTTGTAAATGCGTGCGTCTCCTTCGTCTGCTCGTCGACACAACTCGAAGCTTGTCGGCTCGAGTGACTACGACTTACCACGAGTGGGCCGGCACTGGTCTGTAGCACGCAGGGCAGGGGAATTTTTACTTGACTGACCACGGCTTCCATCGCACACTGAAAGTTGGTACTGTATTCGCACCCACCACAGGTCGTAGAACTGGGGTTTCAAACTGTACCAAAGACCCCAAACTGAAGTGATTAAAAGATTAGTTGCACCGGAAAAATAGTGAAAATGGCTTCGGTTGAAGTGCGACAATGTCGCGACGCAAATTTACTCCAGCCTAGGATTCGAAGTGGCGTATTGGCTACTATATCCCCCCCCCCCCTCACGGACTCGAAACGTGTTGTCCAGTGCATGCAGCACCCTCGCCTCGATCGGAGGGCATACAGGTAGGCAATCCGCCCCTGAAGCATGTGCTTTCGACCACCACAACTCAACATGCATGCACCATAACTCGCCATACTTGCTGTTCCTCGGAGTCTCATTGGCTAGCCATTTACCTTTGTCGGGGGGAGTTGAGGTGGCATATTTGACTCCGCGATCCCCCCCCATTTTACACCGTGGGGGAATATACTACACGTTTTCTCAGACCGGATCCAGCGTGTAGTTGTATTTTCGGTGGAAATATTACTTTTACGCAGCTTTGTCCCCACCGGTGGCAGTGCTCTAAGCGCAGATTTTAAGTGCAGGTTTGAATTTAATGCTAAGACTTGTACTAGATCGAATAAAATGGCACAAGAATTTTTACGGCCCGTGTTATTACTATAATACATGTACTATACAGTATAGTCTATACTTGTTCGGGTACAATGACAATATTTTCCGGTGCAATTAATCTTTTAATCACTTCAGTTTGGGGTCTTTGGTACAGTTTGAAACCCCAGTTCTACGACCTGTGGTGGGTGCGAATACAGTACCAACTTTCAGTGTGCGATGGAAGCCGTGGTCAGTCAAGTAAAAATTCCCCTGCCCTGCGTGCTACAGACCAGTGCCGGCCCACTCGTGGTAAGTCGTAGTCACTCGAGCCGACAAGCTTCGAGTTGTGTCGACGAGCAGACGAAGGAGACGCACGCATTTACAACGAGTTTGATCGTCGACCCCGCACAAGAGCTCTACATGTACAGTAGTCCCTCCAGCGCAGTGACGGAGCTGGCATCGCTGACCCTTACGCCAATCGCCTGCACTTCAAGGTGATGACGGCGCACGTGGGCAACGCGTTCCGCCTCGCCCCCGAGCCGGTTTTGCACGCCCGCCTGCTCTCTTGAAGAGAGCTCACACAAATCGCACTCGATTCGAACCGGATACACTGTACCAAGGATACCGTAGCTACAACTTCCAAAAGCCGCAATGCGAGTGCTCCGATACCTTCACCATGTTACGAACTCAGCCCAGCTTATATGCAGCGCGTATTTTGCCGGTAAATCCATGAGACTAGTGCCACGAATGCCCACAAATTCGTCCCAGCGTAGCTTAGGGAACTGGAGCGCACAGACTTACTGTAGGCTCCAGTACACATTGACGTTGAAGCCACGCTGCAGCACGATTTAACGAGCAGAAAAGGCAACTGGTGCGGCAAGAAGGTACTCTCTCAGGTGAACGCGTACGCTCGCAGGCGGCTTCTGTACGCTCTCATGTTGGTGTGCGCCCGATAGATCTGCTGGATTAATTCTTTAATCAGGTGCATCACATCCTTTCCCCTTTGGTTCTACACGTACTGTACTGTATACTATACTGTGTACTGTACCAGCCAGTGCAGTATCACTACTGTACTGCCTACAAGGACAAGCACCATCGGTGCCCGCCACAGGGAGATGGAATGGATGCTTTCGAAACCAGCCTGTATTAGACAAGTTGCTAAAAGCTACTGAGGCTAGCGACGGCTACCCAGCTGTTAGCTAGAACAGTGTTTGCGGTGGCATTGAAGGCACTGCCTGCCGGCAGGCCAGCTCACGTTACTCATTCCCACTTTGGCTCAGTTCCGCTCAAGCCGAACGTTTCAGCAACTCAATCAAGCAACTAGACTACATACTGCGCCCGGGTTTCCAGAGCAATGGCGAAAGGACCTTTCTTCACGGCGGAGGACGCCAAGTCGGCCTTCAACCTCTTCTGCTGCATCTACGGTGTTGGAACGCTTGGTATGCCCGGCAACTTCTCGCGTGCCGGCCCCTATCTGGCCGTGGTCGCCATGGCCTTCATGGCCTTCGCGAACATTTACTCGTCCCTCACAATGTCCAAGGTCATGCTGCTAGCGCCCAAGTCCGTCAAGACCTTCGGAGATCTGGGCGAGTGGTGCATGGGCCAAACTGGTCGTTGGCTCTGCGTCATCTCGCAAATGGGCTCGTGCCTACTCATCCCCTGCGTCTTCCTGGTGCTCGGTGGCTCGTTGCTCGATGGCCTCTTCCCGGAAGCCTTCAGCCAGACCACGTGGATCATCCTCATGGCGCTCATGGTGTTGCCCGTGTGTCTGGTCCCCACTCTCAAGGAAGGAGCTGCCGCCGCATTCGCTGGATGCCTCGGCACCATCGTTGCCGACGTCCTGGGCGTTGCCGTGGTCATGCACGGTCTCAGTGGCCACCCCAGCGTGCCGTCGCCCGACCTCTCCTTCTCGCAGGTCGCCGGCTGCTTTGGCAACTTGTCCCTCGCCTACGGTGCCGGCATCGTGATCCCCGACATCCAGCGCCAGCACAGCGACCCCAAGCGTATGCCGCGCGTCGTGGTCGTCACCGTCGGCATTATCTCCATTCTCTTCCTCATCCTGGCCAGCACGGCGTACTCGGCTGTGGGCTGCCAGATCTCCGGCAACCTGCTCTTCACCATCTACCCCGATTCGGAGACCGGCCTCACCCACTTGGGGTTCGCTCCGAACTGGGGGACCATCGTGCTCGCCTACCTCTTCATGCAGCTCCACATCACAATCGCCTTCGCCGTGATCATCAACCCGGCGTTCTACATCGCCGAGCGGCTCTTCTTGGGCATGCACAAGGAAGTGCAGCAGACGCACGAGGACCTCGAGATCGCCACCAACTACCTGCAGACGTCCACCCCAGCCGATCTGGCCGTGAAGGACTCCGTGCGCAGCTCCAAGATGTCGTACGTGTCTGTGGCTGACGCCGAAAACGTGCACAAGTACGACACCGAGGAGGAGGCGCTGGAGTACCGCGGCGCGAACGCCATCAAGTACGTCGTCATGCGTATCGTCATTGTGGTGGTGCTGGTCATCATCTCGATTGTGCTGAAGGACGACTTCACGTCCCTGGCAGACTTCGTCGGCGCGTCGTGCATCACGGTCAACTGCATCCTGCTGCCTATCGTCTTCTACCTGAAGAAGTCGTGGAGCAACGTGGCCATGTGGGAGAAGGTGGCGGGCAGTATCGTGGTGGTCATTTGCTTCTCGCTGGGCTGCTACGTGACGTACACCACGGGCCAAGGAGCTGTTCGCTCCATCCGACGACGAGGTGGAGTTCCCGTACTGCGCGCCTGAGTTCGAGCACACGGTGTACTACAACGTCAGCGCCGCGAACTAGGGCTTCTTACACGGCTAGGTGGGGTTCGTACTAGCGTTACAGTAGCATAATGCGAAATCATTTGTTGGTTTTCTGTAAATTTTGCTTTACTTTTGTATCTAGCTCTCGCAACGCATGTGCTGCCAAGCGTCTATCGTTTGTTGGGGCCGTTGTGTGGTAAGCTGATGAATACAGCACACGCGACCTCACACACGAGAAAGTCATCCTGTTCGCAATAGATTTTATTGATACTGTGTAGTGAAGTATTTTTTTATCCGATCACGAGCAAGAAAGCTAGACTACTACAATAATATATACAATAGAGTCTATAGAAAAACTGAGATGGTTCTCTTACTACATGCAACGTTACAGTATACACTGTATACCCCTAGTAGGGGTGTATACTATACAGTAAACCAATTTGCGCTAAGTACTTGTTCGAGTACCGTAATCTGCCCGAGTAAGGAACGCCTGATATAAGTAAAAACGCAGAATATATCAATTGATGTTAAGTTGAGTATACTTTTCCAATGTACTGATTTAGTTATTTCAAAATGAACTGAAGAGCAGCTTTACCTACGAGTCCGGAATGATTCCAACAGTGGCGTATGGTCGAAGCACTAACCTTTGACCAGGCATCCTCGCACCACAACAGCGCTGTCAAATGGGTGGAGTGGGGGAGGAGGTGGGCTTGTGGGGCGAGGTGCAAAAGCAAAAGTGCGAGTCTACCACTACGGTACATGTAGTTTGAAGTCTAGTAAGATCGCTAAATGCGCGCCATTTTTCAAACGAGGGTGGAGAGCTGATGATTGGCACTGGATTTTTCACCTTAGTACCTCAGTACCTTGCAGTACCTTGCACATCCCCCTATCGCCACATCGACTGGAAAATAATATTAAATATGTGAGGCTATTAGTTATACACCCGTTCCTTATTCGGGCAGAATTCTGTACAGTGAAATGATTCCTTTCTTGTACTGTAGGAGTGGACGGCGCATCACTTGGAAACCGACGCATAGAGTGTATTATACACTGCGCGACATAATCTTTCGGACACTCACGTTTTTGTCCATATCTCAGCTTCTAGAAAGAGTTAGAGCTCGCTATTTAGATATGTTGTACCTATCAGATCAATCTATAGCTGGCATGTGACGCGGACCTAGATTTCTGAGCGCGTAGATAGGCTAGTATACAACTGACACGATTCCGGACCGCGACAAAGTTTTCGGACAATTTTTATCTTGATTAAAGTATGTAAAAGAATGATTGTCGTAGGTTGTCGTGTGTTCGTCTCCTATTATACGGTGGACCACCATCGACGATGATGTCGGCAAGGCTGCCTGCTGGGCCGGCGAGCGCCTCCAGAGCGCCCAGTGGCTCCAGGCTTGATGCCGAGTTATCGGCAAGCTCTATACGATACGCATGCGCATCATACCGTGGCCCCTGGCGAAGCCTGGGCCTCCGGGAGGGACGGTAGGTTCGAAACCATCCGCTCCCATGATTTGTATGGGAATGTGCGACAGACAAAATGGCTGTCAAGGCAATGGACATGTAGGCCTCTAGGAGACCATGGTGCGGCCAAAGCAGCCACTAGACAACTTCACTAGTCTATCTAACCTCTTCTAACGAAAATTAGGCTCTGTTTTGATACATGTTGCCGTGAACTAGACGCGAATGTGTGCATTAGCGCCGACATAGGACGCTGATTGGCTGATTTGATGTACCCATCACAGCAGGACATACTTTAATCAAGATAAAAATTGTCCGAAAACTTTGTCGCGGTCCGGAATCGTGTCAGTTGTATACTAGCCTATCTACGCGCTCAGAAATTAGGTCCGCGTCACATGCCAGCTATAGATTGATCTGATAGGTACAACATATCTAAATAGCGAGCTCTAACTCTTTCTAGAAGCTGAGATATGGACAAAAACGTGAGTGTCCGAAAGATTATGTCGCACAGCAACGCCAGAATGGAAATGGGTTGGAGGACGGCTAAAATATCCACAGAAATACAAGATAATTCACAGCGATCGTCTTAATCCACAGATTTGCGAGGTCAGTCCTCAACAGGTGGTGACAATCCACAGAACCTGGGGATAATCCACAGCTCAATGAGCAAATCCACAGCTCCCAGAGTCAATCCACAAGATGCATAATGTCTAGTCCACAGCTATTTAAGCCAATCATTATTATTCTCTATCATGATATTTGATCCAATCAGAATCTCTCTCTATCTGCGTGACCACTAAATGCGATTGAAGTGCAATGTGAAGTCGATGATGCTGTTGGTGTTATTGAGCGCAAGGATAGCAGCAGAAGCCAAGTTCCTCAGGCAGAACTATTAGGCCATGACATCACACATCTAATGAACTCTAATTTACTACCTAATTCGCTATATTGGTGGAGCTGAAGCTCGAAACCCGCAAAAGTACAATGAGAATACGTTGAACAAACGCAGTGATTCGCCTTGTTGGCAGTAGACTCGAGCTTCGTTCGACACCGCACGTGACTGTGGTGTAGTGAGAAGCAGCATGCTGACTTATTTACGCCTTGTTTGATCTACTAACTCTAAATTGGCGTGTATACGCTGTTTTTTAGAGCTAAAATGAAACTCGATGCTGCAGTTCGGGCAGTTTCCGGGCTGCCCCTCTCGATGGAGCGCGCTCTTGGCGTGGGCTGCAGGTGCGTCTGAGCACCTGTGTTATGGTCGATCTTTTGTGGCATGGTTGACGTACTAACTCTAAATGCTGACGTGTCTACGCTGCTGTATAGAGGTTATGAAGCTGGAAGCAGCACACATGGGGTGCTCGCCGAGCACAAGAGCATCGACGCGGAGCGTCATGGGGGCGCTTAGCGACAGTGAGGCGTCGCCGTTGGTCCACTCGGAGTTTCGCCGCCACTCGCTGTCGTCGCGGGACAAGTTCAAGCGCAAGGGCGACGCCACCGCCAGCGAGAGGATTAAACTTGCGGACAGCAAGTGACGCCGCCCACTACGTAGTGCTCATCGCGGAACAACAGCAAGCTACGATAGGTTGCTGTTCTTCCGCGTGAGCAGCTCCCTTCAGGGCAGTCTGCACGCATGGTTGGAAGTGATACTAGTGCACATGTTGTTTCACTCCACGCATATTAGGACTAGAATAGCAAACAATACAGTACAAGTAGCTTTCTGTTACGCATTAAACTTATACTACGCACATACTACTACGTAGTACTACCTACAGTAATTAGTCTGGCCCAGACTAATTTTGAAGTAAGACTAATTTTGAGCCCAGACTAATTACTGTAGGCACTGTAGCAGTAGTAGGTATTGCCATGACCCGCAACAACTTGTCAATCTAGATATGGTTGTATTATTCGTCCACGCGCATTACATGACCATGGCTAGCAAATATTCTAACAGCATTAAAGGAATTATTGTACATGAACGCGTTAGCCTACAAGCATAGCATCATTATAACCACACAAGTATGCCGCTGCACGCGCACCTGCGGAAAATGGCCACGCGCCACCCTCTACGGCCCCAGAGCCACCCGTGTCCGGCTAGCAGGATCTTGGAGTCTGCATTTTCATCCACAGTAACGTCAGTATTGCGAGTTAGCTCGACGCCGACACTGCATTTTGTTGCATCGTACCCATAGATGTTGCCTCTACCCACCTGCTCCCCGCGCTAGACGCCCGAACCTGCACACTCAGCACCTGCTGGATGTGCTTCCGGTACCGTACATGTACCTCAAGAATGGTACAGCCGTCGCCGCAGATTAATGGTGGCAGCCTGTTATTGTCCCCATCGGCCAACTGGAGACGCAAAGCTGTGGATTATCCCTCAAAAAGATGTGGATTTTTCAAATTTACTCGTCAAAAAGCACTTTACCACCTTGGAAGTCGCACTTGGAGCTGTGTCAAGCTTTGCGGTACAGATCGAAATCGAACTGTCAAGGAAACAGGTCTAATCAAGTTGCTGGTGAATGATTAGACGAGTCGGTGGTAATTCTGGCACAAGACACCACCAAGTTGAACTGAGGCTGCTACATGTACAACACGTGCATGTAAATATAGCTTCCGGCGGTAAGCTGAGTGTGCTTGCTGTGTACAAGTCCTTGCGATAGTGGTGATGATACAGTATCCAATTTTGATACTGCGCACGCAGCGTGCACAATACGTGCAGCACACCGCACGAAAAGATGGAGCGTGTTGAAACATTGAGTGTCAATCACCTTCTGACCCACCGCTTGCATTTATACTGAATACAGTACACCAGCGCACTTCCCAACTTGGAACCCAAGTGGGCAAGGTGGTGCGGAAGGATTTGCAGCACTGCCACTTCAACGTGAGTGGCGATGTTCAACATCACGCTACAGCGTGCAGGGGCTGTTTCGCAAGAAAGGATTCAGAGCGGTAGCGTTATTAACGCTGCGTTAAAAGGTCGCAGACCGACGTCGTGGTTGTCATGGCTAGGAACGCCCAATCAGCCAAGCTTGGCATCGGAGATCTCCAGTGACCTCGGTGACCTCGCTGGAAATGGTGAACTCAGCAATGCACCAAAATTGTGGCGCCAACATCCAAACTACTGATTGGAAGTTTAACGATCCATCCTGAAGTCTGAACCAGCACCAGCAAAGGCACCAAGTGCGCGCTTGAAGCCCGCGCGTAGATGAGCAGAATCTCCGGATCTCTAGTCGACATATCAAACGAGATTGATGCACTTTCGTAAGACGATACTTAGCCCCAGAATGCCTATCATAAGACAAAGCGTCTTACGTTTTCCGATCAACGCGTTTTGACTACATCTTGGTTTTTGTATACCAGTGGCTACATTGCATATTGTCTGTCAAAACATAAGACAGTTTGTCGGACACTAGTTTGCGCCATACAATTGGCCAAAAGTGTTCAGGTCACAGCGGCATCGTTGCCGCGGACGCGGTGGCAACGTTGAGCGCCGAAACGATGCAGTTGCATGGTGCGGTAGGGTAAGTAGCCTCTTGTTCACACACGAAGCGATGTGCCTGTAGTTGGCCGCTGGCAGCAAGCTTAAATATCGGCATAATGACTGCACGAACGCGTGCATGCAGTCCGTGGAGCTGTTCCACTCAGAGGTGCAGCCGTTGTAGGGCACGGAGTTACGATGAAGTTGGCAGACGTAAACTAAGAGGGACAAATAGCTCGTAACGGTACTACATGTACATTTTAATGTAGTAAATTTTATGCTTGAGCGTACATCATAGTAGTTGTGAAGGCGTGGCAGCCAGGGAACGGTGTTGCCAATGGGCTTCCCGAGATCCTCCAACCCCCTCTTACCTAATCATTACAGTCCAGCAACAAAATGCAACCACGTACTCTGCAACGGCGATAATACCTAGATCTTATACCTACGACGCTGAGGTGCGGAGGAGCTCCACACTGCTGCGCGGGCGCTCGGCTGCGCGCCATATCGCTGCTGGGCTCGAGCTTCGGCATCGGCGAGTTACTCGGTATCTCCTGCAACTAAGTGATTGAAGTTTGAGCAAGCTGCATCAAGTACTTGTACGAATAAAAACGCTAACAGAACCCTCAAAAGCAAACCCTGGTATGCAGCGACTCGCAGCTTGCTACAGTAAGAGCTCAACCACTTGATTCCGCAGCGAATCAACCAACAGCATGGCTGAAATGTGGGGTGAAACCTGAGTGCGTTGCACGTGTTATGCACGACTTTTTTGGTAGTTGGACTCCAACTCCAACTGTTGGAGTCCAACTGTCCAACTTGGACGACTCGTCCATCATCCAAAGTCCGTACAGTACCGGATGCAACACAACTTTCCTGTGCTGAGACCGGCCGGCTCCAGGCGCCGGCGAGATCCTTTCGAATTTCGAGTCGAAGGAGCTCTCGGCCAATTGGTCCCGGCTCAAGTCGACTTCCCCGCCGTCCAAGATGCCGTTCTTCACGATGGAGGACGCCAAGACGTCCTTCAACCTCTTCTGCTGCATGTACGGCATCGGCACCCTCGGGATGCCTGGCAATTTCTCGCGCGCCGGACCTGTGCTCGCCGTCATCGCCATGGCCTTCATGGCATTCGCCAACATCTACGCGTCTGTCAAGATGTCTCGCGTGATCCTGCTCGCCCCCAAGTCTGTCAAGACGTTCGGGGATCTCGGAGAGTGGAGCATGGGCCAAACTGGTCGTTGGCTCTGCGTCATCTCGCAAATGGGCTCGTGTCTACTCATCCCCTGCGTCTTCCTGGTGCTGGGCGGCTCGCTGCTCGACGGACTCTTCCCTGAAGCCTTCAGCGCCACCGTGTGGATCATCCTCATGGCGCTCATGGTGTTGCCCGTGTGCCTGGTCCCCACTCTCAAGGAGGGAGCTGGCGCCGCCTTTGCCGGCTGCATGGGCACCATTATCGCTGACGTGATCGGCGTGGCCGTTGTCATGCATGGCATGCGCGGCCACCCTTCAGTGCCGTCCCCGGACCTCAAGGTCTCCCAAGTTCTGGGTTGCTTCGGCAACTTGGCTCTGGCCTACGGAGCTGGTATTGTCATCCCGGACCTGCAGCGCCAGAACAGCGACCCGACTCGCATGCCTCGCGTCATTTTGGTTACCGTGAGCTTCATCTCGTGCCTGTTCCTCGTGCTGGCCAGCACTGCTTACTCAGCTGTGGGCTGCCAGATTTCGGGCAACTTGCTCTTCACCATTTACCCGGACGCGGACACCGGAATGACCACCCTGGGCTTCGCACCGAGCTGGGGCGCTGTGGTGCTAGCATACCTGTTCATGCAGCTCCACATTACCATTGCCTTCTCCGTGCTCATCGACCCGGCCTTCTACCTTGCCGAGCGTATGGCGCTGGGCATGCACAAGAAGACAGACATGGAAGCTGGCGTCGGTTATGCCGAGTCCGCGACGCCTGCCATCCTCCAGACCGAGTCTCGCCGCAGCTCCAAGATGTCCTATGTATCCGTGGCGGATAGTGAGCGTGACTTCAAGGACGACCCGGAGGCTGAAGCGGCAGAGTACCGTGGTGGCAAGAACACCCTCAACTACATTACGCTGCGTATTGTCATTATCGTCATCCTCGTCGTGCTTTCCATTATCTTCCAAGATCACTTTTCGGATTTCGCCGATTTCGTCGGCGCGTCGTGCATCACGGTAAACTGCATCCTGCTACCGATCGCCTTCTACCTAATGAAGGCGTGGGGAAGTACTCCGTGGTACGAGAAGGCCGCCGGCGTAATTGTGCTCGTGGTGTGCTTCTTGCTGGGTTGCTATGTCACGTATACTACCGGCAAGGCGCTGTTCTCGCCGACCGACAGTGATACCGAGTTCCCCTACTGCAGCACCGAGTACGAGAACCAGATCTACTACAACTACATGGCAGAGCACGAGTCCTAGGCCTTCTTAGGTTTTCTAGACATCTACTACCTTCAGCTGCCTGGAAAAGAGTAATAAAGTGGCGATACATGTTGAGTTTCTACGATGTTCACCGATCCTTGCCCAACAAGAAACCTCTACAGTATCCTACTGAGGCTCCAATTGAAGAATATCGGCCCTGACAATCGCTTCGGGCAGCGGTATGTCCAGATACTCCACTGTTTGGACTCGACTCTGCTTCAGAAGACCATGGTCCTCCAGACACTTGACAGAATTTTTCATTGCCAGCGGTGTGGAATGCAATAGCTTCTTGCGACAAGCCTCATAGACGGACTGGTAAGCCACGATTTGGGGCTTCCGAGATCGGTTCTTAGTCGAATCGGCAGCAGCGAGTTGTTGGCGCGCTAGCTCTTGCAGAGTCGCCACATCGGTGGGTGTGAGACTTTGCAGAATAAACTTGACTCCGCTGCTTGTAGCGTCCGCCGTCTTCGCGCGCTTTGCCAACCGCAGTTCGATTTCGTCCGTGTACGGCTCGCAGGTGTCGATATTCTGGCTGAGCCACTCGAACCGAAGAGAGTCCTCTTCCTTCCAGATCGAGGGGCCGTTGATATGGTCCATCGAAGCAACAAGCGCGATGAAAGGCGATTTCGCCAGCCAACTCAAACACGTCTGAGCCTCAGGGTTCCGCAACACCAGTCCGTCTATCGAGTGGACGAGCAGATAAACTTGGGTCACATGACGCGAGCCTGGCTTAGTTTTGGCGATTTCTCGGTACTGGGGTGAGAGGAAACGTAGCGATTAGTTCCACCCACAGATAAGTTCATCTAGCTATGGTTGCACCTGCTAAAGCGTTACCTGTTGGGATAGCGATTGGTTTGGCTTCGCGTCAACTCGAAGAACCTACACACCCAATCAGATCAACAACCCGATGGGCTAGTCAATACCATGCTTGCAAAGGGCCGTAAACACAAGTATGCTAAGAGTTCCACCTTCTGTTGGATAGCCTCAGCCAAATACTTTAGCGAGACAGTCGGGAGATAGCCATGCACTTGCATAACAATGCCATCGTTCAGGTAGGTAGACGCGAACTCCTACTCGCATACAACAGCACATTAGTCTTGAACACAAAATTGTGTATCATTCGGTGAGCCAAAGATTACTTACTTGAAGCAACGACAGCTTGGACCCCACGCCGTAGAAGAGCAGGTTGTAGCCAGCCAAGAGCTCGCTCTTCCATGTTGGGAAGTGCTGCTGGAAGCGTCTGGTCTGCTGTTCCACGTGTTCGTCCGCAGCTCGCAGCTCCGCGAGCAGCTCTCCACGTGGGGGCAGCTGCAGCGCGTTGCTCTGTTCCTCGTCCTCCTCGACGTCGTCCTCTTCTACCTGCTGACGTTGTCGGTTGCTCCGCTGCTTCTGAGCCCGACTCGCGCTCTGCGCGGCGGCGGCTTCTGCGGCCTGTCGCTCCTTTAGAGGCGGCGGCTTGGGCTTGCGAGTCACGCGCTGGCGGATCCGCTTGGACGTGAAGTAGGCGTTGGCAGAGGACGCGCCCAGCTCCACGCTGCCGCTCGGCTCCGAGCGCCGCTGCCGGAAGCGCGCGCGCAGCCCGGCATCACTCATCGAAGCCAAAAATGTCACTGTTGTGAAGTACACGCGCCGCGCTTTAGTGACGCAAGTTGAAGTTTTTTTTAGCGACCTTGCGGTATTGCACTCGTTAGGACACGAGAGCCATGGCAGGGACGTCGCTCTTCCGCGTGGGGGACGTCGTGGAGCTATGGCGCGTACTGCTGCATCTGAGCGTGCTGGTGGTGTGTCTGCTGCTCTTCGAGCGCGCCTTGCACCTTCTGGAGCGCCGCGCCGCCGTCTCCGCCAAGTATGAGCAGCTGCTGAGCAAGGCGTACCGCGAGCTCATGATCCTCGGACTCATCGGCCTCGGCCTCAAGCTGGTGAAGGAGGCGCCCAGTGTAGACGGGGGCAGCGCTACTATTACAGCCTTCCAGGTGGCCGACCTGACCATCTTCATCTTGGCGCTGGCGCTCATCCTGCAGACCGTCTGCATCTTCCTGCGCCTGCGGAAACACAACGTTCGAGCTGATCGCGCCGAGCTGCTCTCCACCGAAGATCTGGCCGACGCTGTGGTCTCAGCAACAAGCAGCCAAGCACGCGATGTCCAAGAGTTGGTGCATTTGCGCCTGCTGCGCCACTTGTTCCTCGCTCGCTTCGATCTGCCTCAGCTTTTCCCGTTTTCCAAGTACCTTCGGCAGGCGCAAAATAACCAGATCACACATATGACTGACGTCGGTGCTCCGATGTGGGCACTGCTGCTCGCTGTGGCCTGGAGCCTGGAGGGTATCACAGACATTCTGCAGCACAGCGAGCCAGATCTACCCAGGCGCCGCAGTCTCGTAATCGTTCTGGTGGGGTTTGCCTGGGCGCTGCTAACGGTGCATGTCGCCGTCCTGGTTTACTTTCGATCCTGTGTTCAGCAACTGCTGAAGGCTGCTGGGATGGCGGCAGACCCACCGACCCTGGAGAGTCATCTTAGAGTTATTGCGCGCGAGGAAGCTCGAGCGTGGACCAAAGAGGACGCTGGGCAAGCGCTTTTGACCATGCAAAAGGTGCAAGAGATGTATGAAGCGCCCCAACTGCGAAAACATTGTCAACGTGGTGAAAACAAGAGCAGTCTGGTACCGGAAGCTGTGGCCCGCATAGATATTCGATGGTTCTCACGAAGGTCCTGGCACTTTATCGTGATGCTGTTGCTGATGCTCAATGGGTTCTATTTGGCGCTTGTAGCCCAGTGTGTTGCCTACCAGATCGGGATCGTGTATGAGGACTCGGGGCTAGCAGAGGTGCTGGCTATCCCACTGCCGCTGGTGCTGAACACCTTGATACTCCAACCGCCGATATTCCGGAACTTGGTGCTCGTTAGCAGCATTTTCCGCGTGGATGGCACCACACTAAACGAAGTAGTTAACCATTTTCGCGAAATTGTCGAGCTTCGCTCCGAGTTCGCAGCCAGTTTGTGGAATAGCATGCAAGCGAAGACGCTCTCGATTGGCGACCTGCAGACAGAGTTGGAGGCGTGCGATCCTGGACATTCTGGTGCCATTGATATCGAAAACATGCGCTTGGTGCTCCGACGCTGCGGTTTTCACCTTTCCAGCTTCCGCTTCAACAGTCTTGCAAGGTTACTGTTTGAGCTCAACGAAATGCAAATCGAGTATGCCCAGTTGCTGAAGCTGATTGAGCTGGCGCAAACTGAAATATGCGGCACTAGCGCAGGTGTTCACCCCTCGATGCCGGTTTACCATCACCCACTGCTTCGACAAAGCGTTCTGGGGGAAGAAGATGAAGGCACGACGGAAGGTGTCGGGAACTCGTATTTACCCCCGCACCCTTTACTGGCGTCAATGCCGGTGGATTCGTCCATTTCAAGACGAACAGTGGTCGTGAGTACTCGCTCTAACTCCTTTCTGCCACCGCGACCTCAATTGGGGCGAAGCGACAGCAAGTTTCAAGGAGTAAGCTCTAGAGCTCTGTGTGACCTCTTCCACATCGACTGCAAGCTAGATCCGAACGTGCCCACACCTACAGTTGACTGCAACTTCGCTCACGTCTAGATCGAAACATTCCAGATTACATTTACGCTAGATGCCCACTGACTTAGATCCTTCTAATCAAGTAGTAGTACAAGGAGTACGGTTGTCTTATGCTTCGTGTTCAGCCGTGTAGTTGTAGTAGACGTCGTCTTGGTATTCTGGAGCACAGAACGGGAAGTTGACGTCGCTTTCGGTCGGCGCAAACATCTCCTTCCCGGACAAATACGTCACGTAACAACCGAGCACAAAGCAAACGACCACCGCAGGCACCTTCTCGTAAATGGGAACACAGCTCCAGCAGCGCTTCAAGTAGAACACGATAGGCAGGATGATGCAGCTTATTGTGATAGCCGAAGAGCCCACGAAGTCACTCAAATCGGAAAAGTGGTCCTTCAGCAACACGGAGGCAAGGACCTGTAACGTGACGATTGCAATGCGCAGCAGCACGTACTTGATCGAGTTGGCGCCACGGTACTCAGCAGCCTCAGCCTCTTCGTCTACATCATTGTCCTTTTCAATGTCTGCCATCGAGACCACCGACGCCATCGATCTCTTTGAGCTGCGCTCTCCCTTCAAAATTGGTGTGCCAGTAGGGTCATAGCTGATTGCGGCCTCGACATCATCCCTGGGCAGGCGCTCCTGCGAGTTGTTCTGGTGCATCCCTAGAACGAGTCGCTCGGAGATGTAGAACGCAGGGGATACCACAACCGCGAAGGCGATGGTGACGTGCAGCTGCATGAACAGGTATGCGAGGACGACGGCGCCCCAGTTCGACGCGAAGCCAAGTGACGTTAGACCTGTGACCGGGTCCGGGTAAATGGTGAAAAGCAGGTTGCCCGAAATCTGGCACCCCATGGACGAGTATCCGCTGCTGGCAAGCGCCAGGAAGAGCACCGAGATGAACGTCAAGGTGACAGCTACAACACGAGGCATGCGAGTCGGGTCGCTGTGCTGGCGCTGAAGCGATGGGATCACGATGCCGGCTCCGTATGCGAGGGACAAGTTTCCGAATGCACTGGTAACTTGTGAGAAGGAGATTTGGGGCGCCAGCACACTCGGGTGGCCACGCATGCCATGGATGACGACTGCAACTCCGATGCAATCGGCGATAATGGTGCCCGCACAGCCTGCGAAAGCCGCGCCTGCTCCTTCCTTGAGCGTCGGGATGAGGCAAACCGGGAGCACCATTAGCGCCATGATCACGATCCACACCTTCTGGTCGAACGCGTTTGAGAAGAGTCCGTCGAGCAGCGAGCCGCCCAGCACGAGGAAAACGCAGGGCACCAGCAGACACACGCCCATTTGGGAAAGCAACACCAAGTAGCGGCCAGTCTGGCCCATGCACCACTCGCCGAGATCACCGTACGTGCGCACAGACCTGGGAGCCAGCAGCAGCACCTTGGAGATCGCCACGGAGGCGTAGACGTTGGCGAAGGCCATGAAAAGCAGCGCTACGCTGGCGATCGCCGGCCCCGCTCGGGAAAAGTTGCCGGGCATGCCGAGGGTGCCGACGCCGTAGACGCAGCAGAAGAGGTTGAAGGCAATTTTGGCGTCTTCCATCGTGAAAAAGGCGCCGCGAGCCATCTTTAGCGAGTCACCGGTGTGCGGAGTTTAGGCAGCGCCAAAGTGAGAATGGTCTTTCGCGACAGCGTCGTCGCGTCCTCGATCTTCGCGTTGCAAGGAGCGCCTGGCTCATCCAGCGCGCCCCGGCACATGGGCAACCAAATGCTTTCGGCAGGTGGCGCCGCCTTCCATGCTGGAAACTGGAGTTCTCAATACAGCGTTGGCGATGCAAATAATGGGCGCCATCATCTGGCATCGATTGGCGCGGCACGTGGAACTGCCGACCGCAAGTTCCGGTGCAGCTCCCGTCCGAACTGGGCGAGCGCTATAGATAGTAAGCGCAGCGTACATGTATCTGCCACCTCCTTAAGTTGGTCCGAGCTCGAGAGAGCAACTTCAAGAGGAACCTGCACTCTGCAGTTCGGACCAAGCGGATCTTTTTGCAAGGTCTGCGAGGCCATGTCCACCTGCAAGTTGCAGGCTTGCAGGGCAAGCGCATCCTCGGCGGTTCAAACCAGGGGAAGCATCTCCGGAGGAGGAAACTCATCTCCTGATACCGACTCTTTTCGGCGATCGACATAGCCGTGTGAAAGTCTCAGCTTGCAGCGGAGAAGGCTCCGCATCTCTGGGGTTCCTATGCATGCAAGCACTCAGCTGAGACTCGTTCAACATGGCACGAAGCAGCGCCTGCCTTCAGCGTCCTTGGTCTCGCTGGAGCTCGCTTGGGGCACTGCTAGTAGCCCCAACGGGCGTTTCTGAAGTTGGAGCATCCCGTTCTGGTGCATTGCCACTGGGTATGTCTCGCGTCCGGTGTCGGGTCAAACGCTGCCGGTGTCGTGTCGAGCTGGATGCGCTCGCAGGAATCATGTCCGGTGCGGCCCTTCAAGGTGATGCTGGCGGGAAGGCAACTTCGAGATCCGGTCGAGGTTTGGTGCATGTGCTGATGCGCTCGCGGCTGTGTGGGAATGCTCTCTGCAAAGAGACTAATCGCCGCCCTCTGACGGGAGCCACGCCGCCGGGTGTCATCGGCGATAGAAAAGCCTGGGAGGATGTTGAAGTGAGGACCATTTTGAGTCCCAGCGCTCCTTAGGAGCCCGGAGGCTTGGCGCTTCGAGCCGCAGCAAGGCAAGAACCGCTTGCAGCCTAGCGCACCAAGCACACTTATTCTGTTGGGATGTCTGGGTGTGCTCAGCGCGCTCACAGTACAGAACTTTGTTGTTTGTGTATATGTATGTACTGTACACCGTTTGGCGTGTCAACTGAACGGCGGACGCCCGCAGCGTTTTTGACTCGATCTGATACCGTTCAAAAACGCCATGTATCGCTCAATCCAGCAACACGGGGTTGACCACGATGTGCCCTTCGCTGCGAGCTTTTGGGCGGCGAGCATGGCGGCAACCAGCACCTGCAGCTCGTTTGGCGCCGATGCCCCTCCATTTGCCCCACATGCTTCGCTTCCGCAGCAGCATTGTCGTGCGATGCAACGAAGAGTGATGTACACTCGGAGAGCATCCCGAAGATGCTTTCGGCCGCGCTGCAAACCCACGACGGATGCAAACCCACACAAGCAATAGATCCGTTCGTACATCAAGTCGCCAATTGCACCCCATACAGAACTGCTTGAGCTGTTGGGCGTCCGCGCATACTGTGCGAGTTTGGTGCCGACGTCCGAGCTAACATGCAAGTTCTCCGTAGCGCTGGGTTGAACTCGCGAGTTCTTCTCGCCGGATTAAAATCAGTCGGCCACGTCGTCCGAGACGGCAAGTGTTGATTTGCTGGCCACAGTTGGCGGCGCAGAGTCCGGTGTCGCGGTGCGAGTGCCGGTGCACGAGCGTTAAATCCCGCACCAGAAAGTGCGGGGCCAAGGATCCGCCGGCGCTCATAGGCTCCTCAGGAACTGACGTCGCCGGGAGGACTGATAGAGCCCACTCTTTAGCGCACAGAGGGGTCCCTGCTGCAACCCGTTCTGCGTTGGCTACGCCCCCCGCTCCGTTTGTGCAAATGTATCGCCTGAGAACTTCGCCAGTTGAACCGCTACGTGTCCTAGGTGAGCTGGGGCACACGAAGGCATTGCACCGCCCACCTCACTCAAGCTCAGTCTGCAATTTCCCGCCTTCCCCTCAAGCCGCCAACTCGAAACGGACTCGACCATGGCTCGCAGCGCCCTCTTCACTATGGAGGACGCCAAGGCGGCCTTCAACCTCTTCTGCTGCGTCTACGGCATTGGAACGCTTGGTATGCCCGGCAACTTCTCGCGTGCCGGACCCGTGATCGCGGTCATCGCCATGGCCTTCATGGCCTTCGCCAATACGTACTCCTCGGTCGCCATTTGCCGTGTCATGCTGCTCGCGCCTCGATCGGTCAAGACCTACGGTGACCTCGGTGAATGGTGCATGGGCACGACCGGCCGCTACCTGACCGTCGTCTCGCAGATGGCCAACTGCCTGCTTGTGCCTTGCGTCTTCCTGGTGCTGGGCGGCACTCTGCTCGACGGCCTCTTCCCGGGTGCCTTCAGCGGATCGACGTGGATCATTCTCATGGCACTTACGGTGTTGCCCGTGTGCCTGGTGCCGACTCTCAAGGAAGGAGCTGGCGCGGCCTTTGCTGGTTGCATGGGCACCCTCGTTGCCGACGTCATTGGTGTCTCTGTCGTCATGTACGGCATGCGCGGCCATCCGAGCGTGCCTTCGCCCGACCTCAACTTCAAGCAGGTCGCAGGCGCCTTCGGCAACCTGGCCCTCGCGTACGGTGCGGGCATCGTGATTCCGGCGCTGCAGCGCCAGCACAGCGACCCCACTCGCATGCCTCGTGTGGTGGGCGTGACCATTGCTTTCATCTCGTGCTGCTTCCTGGTGCTGGCCAGCACGGCCTACTCGTCTGTTGGCTGCCAGATCTCGGGCAACCTGCTGTGGTCGATCTACCCGGACTCGGAGACTGGCCTCACCACCCTGGGCTTCTCCTCGGACTGGGGTGCCGTTGTTCTCGCCTACCTCTTCATGCAGCTGCACATTACGATCGCCTTCTCCGTCATCGTGAACCCGGCGTTCTACATCGCCGAGCGCGTTGTGCTTGGAATGCACAAGTCTCCTGTTGCTGACGTCGAGAACAATCTGATGAGCTACGCTGATGCTGCTACCCCGGCCGATGGCGCCGAGCACTCCGAGAAGGAGTCACGCACTTCTAAGCGCTCTTTCATTTCTGTCGCTGACAACGAGAACGCGCACTTTGGTGATCCGGAGGCGGAGGCTGCTGAATACCGCGGCGCCAATGCCATCAAGTACGTGGTTCTTCGTATTGTGATCGTCGTTATCCAGGTGATTGCTTCAGTGCTTCTGAAGGACCACTTCTCGGATCTGTCGGACTTCGTTGGTGCCTCATGCATCACGGTCAACTCGATTATTTTGCCGATCGTGTTCTTGCTGAAAAAGAAGTGGGGTGTGCTTCCAATGTGGGAGAAGATTCCTGCGCTGGCTGTGATCGTTGTGTGCTTCTGCCTGGGCTGCTACGTGACCTACATTTCGGGCAAGAACCTGTTTGCTCCCAGCGACGACGACACGTCTTTCCCATTCTGCCCTCCAGAGTATGAGAACACTGTGTACTACAACTACACGGCTGCTCACGAGAACTAGGTAGTGTAATTGCATCATGGTATTGCACATGTTAAATGTGAACGTTTTACAGTCCATATATCGGGTCTCTACAAAATGTGACGTGTTTCACTGTTCATGAATTTCTGTTCATGGAAGCAAAACTGCTCATAAAGTCATCCACGGACAAAGCGCGGCGTTTGAGCAAAAAAATCGTAGGAGTACAGTACTAACCCACAACCAGGCAAGGCCTTCAATTTAAGTTCAAACATGATTCGTTTCGTTACAATCGCCCAACACTTCACATACACCTGCACTTGTCTAGCCTAGCTCTCGTGCTCGGCCGTGTAGTTGTAGTAGACGGCATTCTCAAACTCCGGAGCACAGAACGGGAAGGCCCTGTCGTCATCGCTGGGATCGAACAGGTTCTGGCCCGACGTGTACGTCACATAGCAGCCCAGGCAGAAGCACACCACGACCACCGTGAGCGCCGGGGCCTTCTCCCAGATGGGCATGACGTTCCACTTCTTCTTCACGAGGAAGACAATGGGCAGGATGATCGAGTTCACCGTGATGCAGGATGCGCCCGCGAAGTCGGCCAAGTCGTGGAAGTGGTCCTTCAGGATCACGGACGCGATCACCAGGATCGCGATCATAACGACGCGAAGGATCACGTACTTGATGGCGTTGGCGCCGCGGTATTCCGCAGCCTCCGCTTCCGGGTCGCCGAGGTGGACGTTCTCGTTATCAGCCACAGAAATGAAGGAGCGGCGCTTTGAAGCGCGAGACGTGTGCGACTGCTTCTCTGAGCGCTCGGTAACATCGGCCGGAGTGGATACGTCGGCGTAATTCAGCAGGTTGTTCTCGACGTCAGCAACGGGAGACTTGTGCATCCCGAGCACAATACGCTCGGCAATGTAGAACGCCGGGTTCAGGATGACGGAGAAGGCGATCGTAATGTGCAGCTGCATGAAGAGGTAGGCGAGGACGACCATACCCCAGTCCGAGGCGAAGCCCAGGGTGGTCAGGCCGGTCTCGGAGTCCGGGTAGATGGCGTACAGGAGATTACCTGAGATCTGGCAACCGATCGACGAGTACGCCGTGCTGGCCAGGATGAGGAACAAGACCGAAATGAAGGTCATCGTGACCCCCACCACACGAGGCATGCGCGTGGGATCGCTGTGCTGGCGCTGCAGCGCCGGAATCACGATGCCCGCACCGTACGCGAGGGCCAGGTTCCCGAAGGCGCCTGCAACTTGTTTGAAGTTGAGGTCGGGCTTCGGAATGCTGGGGTGGCCACGCATGCCGTGCATAACTACGGCAACGCCGATGACATCGGTGATAATGGTACCCATGCAGCCGGCGAAAGCAGCGCCAGCTCCTTCCTTAAGAGTTGGTACCAGGCACACGGGTAGGCACGTGAGCGCCATGAGGATGATCCACGTCGTCGCGCTGAAAGCACCCGGGAAGAGGCCATCCAGCAAGGTACCGCCCAGCACCAGGAAGACGCAGGGCACGAGCAGGCAGTTGGCCATCTGCGAGACCACCGACAGATAGCGGCCGGGTTTGCCCATTGCCCACTCTCCAAGATCACCGTAGGTCTTGACGGACGTGGGGGCGAGCAGCATGACACGGCAAATGGCGACCGCGCCATAGACGTTGGCGAAGGCCATGAAGGCCATGGCGATGATCGCGATGAAGGGGCCGGCACGCGAGAAGTTACCGGGCATACCAAGCGTTCCAATGCCGTAGACGCAGCAGAAGAGGTTGAAAGCCGCCTTCGCGTCTTCTGCGGTGAAGAAGCCTTTGCGTGACATGGTGCGAGCAGCGACGGATGACACGGGAGGGAGGAGCGGTGGAGCGTCGCGGTGACGGTAGTGGAGGAGGACTTGAGCGGAAGCTGGCAAATCCAGGAGTGAGGAGGTGGAGGGAGTTGTTGCCTTGACGGTGGCGACTGCGGATCGCAGAGCGACACAATGCCAACCACAGTAGGGGGCACACGTGATGTCGAGGAAGGATCCTATGTCTTAGTTTGCGAGTACTGTACAAATTCCAGCGTGGAGGGTGTGAAATGCATTGAAGTTGCGTTCATGTAGCAGTTGGGAATCGTTTTGCCAGGTTGGCACTTGATAGGATTTGCTACAAAAGAGTCGGAGACCTGCTGGGGTGCAAGATACATGTCATTTAGGGCGCGTCACGCACCCATCCACCTATCAAATGCTTGCGTTCTCACGATCACACACTTCTTTCGTGTACATCTCCTTGATTAAACGTTTTAATCAGTTTGCACAAAACCAGACTAGGGATCTTGAACAGAAGCGAGCTTCGGAAGATGGGTTCAAGCCGTTGTAACTCTGCTCTTTCCAGCCAAAGCTCCACATGCCGCACCAGAGGGCCTCAATCTAACACGTACAAGTGTTGGGAGTGGTTGCTGTTTGTCGCCGTGCTATCGAGTGTAGATTGTTCGGTTGACTGTAGCAGTGTGTGGCAAATGCTACCTCTACAATAAATACTCGGTCCGAGGTAGATGGGCCCAGCCCTTCAAGCGGTACTTGGAATACGTTGTCAACGATATGTAGATTGGCTTCGCGTTTAATCTTTCGCGCACATGCAAACTCCGGAGAGAGCGAGGGACGGGAAAGTGAGATTGCATGAGTCCTTCGATGAAGATCCTACGACTACTTCGATGATCAAAGTCGCAAAATCCAGAAGATTGCGAAAGCAGCACCATCGCCCCCGTGGTGACCACGGTGCTACAGTTTGGTTGAAAAAAAGGCATTTGGAGGGCATGTTGCAGTCTAATAGGCTAAACTTTCAACTGACGCGCAGCTGAAGTCCTGTATCTTGCCGCACCGGAAGGCTTCCGACTCTCTCAACTCTCTCATCAAACGGACAAGGGACAGACAACTCTTTGAGTTCAACTCCATCTGACTTCAATACGCTCACGCAGGTGTGCATGCTCGTTCCTCGACATCACGTGTGCCCCCTACTGTGGTTGGCATTGTGTCGCTCTGCGATCCGCAGTCGCCACCGTCAAGGCAACAACTCCCTCCACCTCCTCACTCCTGGATTTGCCAGCTTCCGCTCAAGTCCTCCTCCACTACCGTCACCGCGACGCTCCACCGCTCCTCCCTCCCGTGTCATCCGTCGCTGCTCGCACCATGTCACGCAAAGGCTTCTTCACCGCAGAAGACGCGAAGGCGGCTTTCAACCTCTTCTGCTGCGTCTACGGCATTGGAACGCTTGGTATGCCCGGTAACTTCTCGCGTGCCGGCCCCTTCATCGCGATCATCGCCATGGCCTTCATGGCCTTCGCCAACGTCTATGGCGCGGTCGCCATTTGCCGTGTCATGCTGCTCGCCCCCACGTCCGTCAAGACCTACGGTGATCTTGGAGAGTGGGCAATGGGCAAACCCGGCCGCTATCTGTCGGTGGTCTCGCAGATGGCCAACTGCCTGCTCGTGCCCTGCGTCTTCCTGGTGCTGGGCGGTACCTTGCTGGATGGCCTCTTCCCGGGTGCTTTCAGCGCGACGACGTGGATCATCCTCATGGCGCTCACGTGCCTACCCGTGTGCCTGGTACCA